CTTCATCGTTCATCCCATCTTCGACCAATCTACTCCAAACTCTTGCTCAAACCTTCATTCACGCATTAGGACATGAAATTTCATAAACAAGAACAACCTGGTGTAAAATCGGCTTAAAACCCGATTCGAGCCTCAAATAATATAAGAATGGTGGAAAAAAACATGTGTAGATATCGAGTCATCAAATTCCCCCACACTTAACTGTTTGCTTGTCCCCAAGGAAACCTGACTCAAACAAATGTAGCTCTCCAGACCTTTATAGCAACAAACAACTCCGATCGTCGGTAGAGGATTTGCTAGATCATTTAATAACTTACGAGGTCAACTGATCTTCTAAGACGTCCCCCTTCTCTCTCAATGCGAGTACTAGACTCAAGCAAGGATCATGAGAAGCAGTGGAACTAAGACAGTCAATTCATGGATAAGGAGACTCACACAATTTAACGACCAGGGACTCTTCGTATCGGGTGCTCTTTCATTTCATTTAACTTGTTGGAACCACCTTTTCCTTATTATTTGTTTCTTTTTCTTTTGTTTTACTTTTCTGGGGTTCCAACTGCAGTTTTTATGCGCGGTCGGCCCTTATTAGGTGAGCGAGAGCAATTTCTGTACATCTGGCGCTCGCCAGAGTACTTCTTTTAACTCCTATTCGTCACTTCGTGTGGAGGGTCAATGAACATAAGGGGGATCGGAAGCTCTATCCGTGCCTTTAAAAAACACATCCTCGAGTAGGCAAACCGTTCAAGGGGTGGAATTTTTACTTGTACTAGAGACGGCTGAGCTTCACCTTGTAGGCCTACCCCACTAAGGATCACTAAAATCTCTTCTAAAACCCGATTTCGTGCAATGAACAGTGCCACACAGGTTGAGCTTACCCCATGTTTTAAAAAATTCAAATTTTTTACATGGAGGACCAACTGTTATTTCATTTCACACTTGAGCAACCTTTTTCGATACACGAGTCTACAACACAACATAAGGAGAGTCATCAATACCACATGAATCAACGGTCCTAGATCCACTAGTTCACAAAATCAACCTGAACAACAGAGAGACAGATAGGAAAAATCTTATACTTCAACATCCTCCATAGGTGTTACAACTACCTCCCTAGGTTGCATATCACTATAAAGACTGTCAATTCAAAGCATACTGAGCAGGTTATTGCAGCGAACAACACTTGGAGCCCTCAATTCATCAAATTGGACAGTGGACTGGGCTCCAAGCACACAAACTCATCTATGTAGTCAAAGATAAACACCCCCCCCCCCCACACACACACACTTAAGCACGACATTTCCCTCAATGGAGAAGAGGAAAAGATAAGGAGAACGATGTTACCGAGAAAAAGGACTGTCGGGGGACTGGAAATGGGCCAGTCATCAGGGGCAGACTAGAAGGTGGACCATTGGAAAGGCAACGAGGTAGAGTCATCAAAACACACTGGGTGTTAGAAACCATAGTTCCAAGTTGAAAAACCAAAAAGACACAAAATAAAAACAAACCGTGGTGGGGTTGCCTCCCCACAAGTCCTCCTTTACATCTTTAGGTGGACGCAGAGGGTGAATGCTTAGAGCGGTGTAGGAACAGGTGCCTCCAAGAGCGGATCCACACCGCTCTGGAGGTACAACTTAAGATGGTGGCCATGCACACGACGGGTGTGACCACCAACACTTGTCAAATCAACCTGGCCATCCGATAGGATGCAAGCGAGTGAATACTCGGATGGCCAGGGCGGTCATGGCTCAGGAGCTGGGACTTGCTCATAATGGTTTCCAACTTTCTTTTGAGCAGGCTTAGCTACCTGCAGTTTCTGCCACCACTCCTCCTTGATCTTTTCTATTGGTAACGGGGTGGACGGGAGTGGCGGCGAAGGTATGGGAGGAGAGTCCTGCAAATTGGAAGGCACAGAAGGATACACGACAGAATCGTGCACCTGGTGAGAGACAACATGCAAAGGCAATAAAGCAGACATATTATTGGCAATGGAAAATGTTATCTGCTCCTCACCATCCCTCAACATCAGGGTCCCATCATGCACATATATGAGAGCCTTGGCGGTAGCCATGAAAGGCCTACCTAATATAAGGGTCGTTTCTCCGTCCTCATTGATGTCTAAGACAACAAAATAGGTAGGATAAAAGAATCTGTCAACCTTAACTTGGAGGTCTTCCACTATGTCTCTAGGATGAACTATGGATCGGTCAGCTCATTGAATACTCATCCTAGTTGGACTGGGTTCACCTAGGCCTAGTTTCTTGAACATTTTATATGGTATAACATTGATACTAACGCCTAGATCCACCAAGGACCCCTCTACATGCAATTTACCAATAGAGCACGGGATAGTAAAACTACATGGGTCATTCTGCTTCTGCGTAAGCTTGTTTTGCAAAATGACCGAGCACTCGTCGCTAAGCTCCGCAGTGGAAAGCTCGCTCAGCTTCTTCTTCTTAGAGAGGAGATCTTTCAGGAACTTTGCATACTTAGGCATCTGAGATAAATCCTCCACGAAGGGTACTTGAATATTTAGCTTCGCAAGCATAGACATGAAGCTCTTGAACTCTGCCTCTAGCCGGTCTTTGTGCATCGTGATGGGAAAAGGGAGCTTAGACTTATCTTTAGCCACTATTGGCTGGGGCTTTGGGGCCCGAACCTCTAGATCCTTTTCCTTCACCGGGTCTTCTTCCGGCTCCGGGGTGATCTGTGGCACCTTCTTTGCACTCCTCGGTGGTGCATCCTCAGTCACAGTCTCACTTCTCAGCATGATGGCGTGCAACCCCTCCTTATGATTTATGGGAATCGGCAGGGGTTGGCTAAGAAGTATGCTAGCCGGTCTGGAAGCAAGGGCATCTGTTAGGTGCCCGATTTTGGTGTCCATGTCTTGCAGGAGTGCCTGCTGGTTCCTCTGGCTAGCTTCAATCTCCATGAATGTACCCGCAACCACTTCCATGAATTGCTCCAATTTATTAAACTTCTGGGTACTAGTGCTGGCCAAGGTGGTCACTAGATCCCTCAGTTCTGACACAGGATCACCCGGTGCTGGGACTAATGGAGATGCACCAAGCTGTTGGTACTGTTGCTGTGGAGGCTATGGAAAAGCCTGCCCCTGTATGGGGTAATAAAATGGTTGCTGCTGCATCTGGCTTGGGCGGGGCTGGTATGGTTGACTCTTATAATCTTTACCACTTTTATATCTTAGGAAATTATCAAAAATTTTATTTTATTTACTAATTTGAAGCCAAGGAATATTTAAATAGTTACACCTCACATATTTTGGGTTTGTGATGTTATATTGTAAACTTTATTGTTAAATGTTAAGAGTTCGAGAATTAATAGTTTATACTATATAGTTTCACGGTATTTAATTCATAATATATGGTTAATGGTGAAAGAAAATATGAATATGCTATTAGGGTAGATTTCTTAAGGCTTCTTGGTATTTAGATTTATGGTGAAAATTAGACAACTAATATTTCAGGAAAATATGCTCCATAATTATTTTTTGAAACATTTTCTTATTTGAAGTTCGAAATTTTTTTGAGTTAGACTTTAAAGCATTATATGATTATATGTAGGCTCTCAGTGGATAATTACTTCATTAACTAAAAGTTAATGCATTATGCTCGGAAGATTGAGTTGTGAGTTAGGAGTTGAAGGTAAAATATTAAATTTGTTTAAGTCCTTTTGTTTATGATATGATAGTATGGTTTAATTAATATAGTTTTTATGTCAAAACATTAATATAGCTTTATGATTTAAGTTAACTTTGAAGATGACTATTGAAATTAAAAACATGGAACTATAGAGTAGAAAAAACTTATATAAAATTTATTTAGTTATGCCCACTAAAACTTAAAATTTTGGCCAACTGGCCGGGTCAAAAGCTAGTTATAATAACCTTGAATTATCATCATATCATATGTAAATGTTAGTTTTTAGCAACCAAAACTATTTTTGAAGATATATATTAGTTATCAACAAATTAGCATTTGATAATTTATACTTTCTTGATTATTATAATTTTAGATGATTTGTATAAGTTTAGGTTGTACCATAAAGCAATTTGTACCATTATGTTATGGTATAACTTTACAACTTGAAGTTGTACCATCACATAAAAGTACAAGTTCAAGTTATACCATAAAAGAATTTGTGCAAAAAATATAGGTACAATGTGAAGTTGTACCATAACGTAAATGTACAATTTTAAGTTGTACCAAAAAGGCAAAACCCTATAGCACCAATACTATATAGCATTGTAAAATTTCTCGACTATTATATATCTATACCTCCTCCTAACATAAATTAAAGGGTTATAGGTATAATATGCCCCTCTACTATTACGTTTTATCAAACATGCCTCTCTACTATTTTTTACATCAAACATGCCCCTGTAATTTGGAAAAACTATCAAACATGCCCTTCAGTTGAAATTTTCATTAAAAAAATCGTCAATCATGGTTGAACCAAGATTTAGACGACCTGACATCGATAAATGGGAAAGGAAATGTTAGTTTTGACCTTGCTTTATTTCTCTAGGTCTCATCAAAGTAAAATTATTATAATTATTTGGCTATACAAAAGAAGAAGAAAAAACTCTAAAGTGAAATGAGTAGAGATATTTTAAATATTTGGGACGCCCAAACCAAAGTTCGGTCTTGGTTAACGGTTTTTGGATGAAAATTTTAGCAAAATGGCATATTTGATAAGTTTTGTAAAGTATAAGGGCATGTTTAACGTAAAAAATAGTAGAGGAACATGCTTAATAAAATATCATAATAGAGAGGCATATTATACCTATAACCCTAAAATAAAACAAAGTTATCCTTGGGCAAAATCTAGTAATAAAAGCATTCCTTTTTTCTGTGGGGAAAAGGCCTCTTGCGCTTCTTTGAAATTCAAACTACCTTATCCTTTTCCGTTTCGGACTCCCTCGAATTCAGCTTCGAGCAATTCGATTCTCTTCCTATAAATAAGTAGCTCCGGGCAGAGACAGATTCTCACATCAACATCAACATCAACATCAATCAGTAGCTCTCGCTTTCTAATCGCTCGCGGTGCAGTAAAGAGATTCCCCGGAAAAAGCTAATCAAGAATTCCAGTCGCCGTGACAATGTCGACGGAGAAGAAACTGATCACTCTGAAGAGCAGCGACGGCGAGTCGTTCGAAGTGGAGGAAGCCGTGGCAATGCAGTCGCAAACAATCAAGCACATGATCGAGGACGACTGCGCGGGCGACGGCATCCCGATCCCCAACGTCACCGGCGGGATCCTGGCCAAGGTGATCGAGTTCTGCAAGAAGCACCAGCACGCTGCTCAATCCGACGCCGATTTGAAGAAATGGGACGCGGAATTCGCCAATGTGGGACAGGACACGCTCTACGACCTGCTGCTGGCAGCGAACTACTTGAACGTCAAGGATCTGCTGGATTTGATCTGCCAGACTGTGGCCGACCTGATCAAGGGGAAGACGCCGGAGGAGATAAGGAAGTACTTCAATATCAAGAATGACTTCACTAAGGAGGAGGAAGAAGTGATTCGCAGGGAGAACCAATGGGCGTTTGAGTGAAATTTTTCCCAACGAAATATCATGTGCATTGTAGTAGTGGTAGTAGTAGTTTGATAGTCATAGTAGTAGTGATTCAACTTCGAGTTTGAATTTTGATGGTGATATAATTGTTTTTGTATGGATTCACAGGAGAATTGGTTGGTTTTTCTTTGGTTTCTAAGTGGGGGTTTTCCTGGCTTGTGTTTTACGGATAAGAAGAATTGTAAGCTTTCTTTTTGCAGTTTTTTGTTAGTAAAACAGAGCTTCATTTGCTGCTTTTCTGGTGTAACAGTGGGATTGGTCACATTCAAAAAGTCTTACAGATATCATAATAAGAGGTCTTACAACATTGTCAGTAATAGTGGGACTAGTCACATCCTTGACTGCACTTTTTTGTCTAAGCTAGCTTCAGTTGATCTCAAGGTCTTCAGCTTCTTTTTCACTTATCAAAGTGAGGACTGGTAGCATCTATTGTATACTCGATCCACTGTAGAACCTTCTTATGAGGGCTGAGAACTCGGTTTCGGTCAATGTCATCCATAACCTGAAATCTCAAACGGGAGAGAATTTTACACTAGGAAGTTTCGCATAATGCTTTCATTTCATCTACATACATTCTTTCATGAATAGCACAAGACTGAAACAAGTACCTCCAATTGCATTAGTTCGCATACGAGGCTGATATCTGCTATAGAAGGTTGATTCCCGCCGAGCAAGAATTTCCCACTGCCCTTGAGCCAGAAAGACTCCAACTTTGACAAGGATGCAGTTAAAATCTTCTCACCTTCTGCTGCTAGTTCTAGATTCAAGGGTCGTCCAAGTGCAGGTCCCAACGCCTTGTTTAGAACAAACATAACTGAAGAAGCATGATGTGTTAGATCAGAGATGCAATAATCAGGCCGAAACAGTTACACCTTCGCAAAGCGCATCAAAATCATTAAATTTCAAACAGAGATGAAAATGAGCTTGAAACAAAGTCTACGCATGTAACTAGCAGCAACTCGTTGCCTAAAACTGCAATTTAGATGTAGTGGAGAGAATCGAATCCTGAACCCCGGAATCAGGGCCTAGGAAAGATTAATGGATGCAGCACCTGCTCCGCGGCGCAGGCTGGTGTGATGCCAGTCAAGCACTGATTGAATCTTAGCTCTCTTGAAAAGATCAGCTGGATACCTAGATGAACCAAAAATTGCCGCTTAGCTCGAGAACATATCTTCCGAAACAGAACAATGCGTCCAGCAAGGAAATATTGTTGGGACTATTGCGGGACAAGGGTACACGTACGATAGCTCGAGACGGGGTGACCAGGATTGTGATAGAGTCGTGAACAACGTTCACTTTCCGAAAAGAATATTTCCACCCTCAACAAGCCTAGGGTTACAGGAAATTTCTCCCGAGGATAAAACTATCACCACTTTAGGTTCCAGGCTCAAGTACCTAAAGCATACTTAGAAATTTTTGGAAGAAAGTAGAAGAATATGTTTGATGGTCTGTGGCATCATCCACCCCCACACATATTTATAGGGGCCGAATCCATGCATTGTTTCATGAAAGGTTGCCTTTATCCATACGAAAGGTTGCATTTATCCATATGAAAGGTTGCCTCTATCCATATGAAAGGTTATCCTTATCCATATGAAGGGTTGCCTCTATCCATAAGGTTATCCTTAACCATAAAATAATGCAACCGCCACTAGGCCAAAGGGATGTGTCCCTTCACGGAATTAGAATATCGGTTCGGTCGGTCTAATCCCAAACCGGTTGGTCGGTCCAACCCAAAACCGGTTTGACTTGGTTAGTCCGGTTCAACCAAATTTCCAACATTCCTCCCCCATTTTAGTGTATTCTTGTAATTCACTAAAATCACAACATTCTTCCAACAAAACTTAAGCCTAAATGAAAATGTCGTGACGATTGAATTTTCACCTTAGTATATTACACTTGACGAATACTCGAATACAAAGGGTGTCGGTAACGATTGAACCCATTGACTCATATGAATATTCGAAGATAATATACACTTAAGTTTTCAAAACTTCTAAGTGCCTTGACACTATTATCCGCCATGTGTCCAATCCTTCTCATAAGCGCACACGAAACCAAAGTCCGGGTTTCTTGAAGCGGCTACACTTCATGCTTACGTAGGTTGAATCTCTTATTCGTGTACCCGCATAATACACTTTTTCAAAGATTCAATTAAGAAGTTTTAAACTTCATCCTCCTCTCTCATGCAGGGTAACAAGCACATACCTCGGGATGACAAATTGTGTGCTTCAATTTCTGATAATAAGCTTTCCACATTGAATTCAGCCTCTAACGTTGTATTAGAGGGGAATTGGGTATCCCATTAACAGAATTTTATGGACTTTAACCCATCCCTTTTTACAGACTTGATCACCAAGTCACTAGTCAACCACTTCGTCAAATGATCAACCAAATTATTGCGAGTCTGGTCATACTGTCTAGACACAACACTATGAATGATCAGTTCACAGCTTTTACCGTGCCTTACTCCCACATGACCTTACTTGTCATTTTCACTTGACTATATGCCTTAGCCAAATGAGCATTACTATCACAAAAGATAGTAATATGTGAGATTGGTTTAGGCCATAAATATATGTCATAAACCAAACCTCTCAACAATTATGTATCTTCTCTAAGAGAAACCAAGACCACACAAACTTTGATTCCATAGTGAAATTAGTGATGCAAGTTTGCTTTCTAGAGGCCCAAAATATGGTACCTCTCCCAAGCAAGAGGACTCATCTCAATGTTGAAGTATCACCTTTAACATGAGAAATCCAACTAACATCAACAAATCCTTCCAAAATTGATGGAAAGCCACTATAAGTTAAGACAGTGTGTCTTTCACATATCCTAGTACACGCCTCATTTCATTTCAAATTATGAGAACTAGGATTCATCACCTACCAACTTAATTGTTCTATCGCATATGCGATATCTAGCATCATGCAAGTCATGCATACATCGAGCCCTTAATTTAACATGGAATACTCGAGTTGTAAAACTGATTTCCAGTATTAACCATAAGTTTCATACTTGGATCCATTGGGGTCTTTAACTCACTACAATTCCTACTATGGAATTTATGCAAGTACCTTCTCATGCAGAAAAATTGAGAGAAGGACTATTTCTTGTCTTTCCGCTTGATTCAATACACAGAATCACATTTGCCTCCTCCATGTCCTACATGGAGAATTGAAATAACTACTTTTTATCAAAGTTCACTTATCTTTTATTGGTTCCAAAGATAAACCTGTCTTGTACATACAAATATACGATGACTTCATTACCAGAATCATCATAAATTGTGTACACATTTTGTCTCCTTGGTTTAAAATAACATAAACCACTTGACAAAATCACTTATCTTTGATTGGTCCCAAAGATAAATATGTCATCTACATACAAACACAACAACTCTATTGCTAGAATCATCAAACATTGTATATACAATTTTGTCTCCTTGGTTTAACATAAACCACTTAGACAAAACCACCCCATCAAACCACTAGACAAATCCAAGTTTATCTAAAACTTCGTAAATGTCGAATAGAGAATTAGACTAATTAACCATTGAGTATGTGACCTACCCAAAGGAAATTTCCATTCTTCTATTTCTCCATTTTACGAATCATTCTCCTTCTTCCTCATCTTCGAATCATCCCTCTTCCAAGTTACCTTCCGGATATGGAATACACCATGAGACAAGTACGAAGAAAACCCATCTTCTACTGTCATCGATGAAAAACCCATCATCGAACATTCTCATAATTCCACAGACCGGAACCGGTTTCTTGTAAAGAGCAGTTCGAGCCATTGTACCGGAAAATATTCTTTTCGATTGTTGGGACTTTTAGGGACGAGGGTACACGTATGATAGCCCGAGACCTGGTGACTAGGATTATGATAGAGTCGTGAACAACGTTCACTTTCCGAAAAGAATATTTCCACCCTCAACAAGCCTAGGGTTACAGGAAATTTCTCCCGAGGATAAAACTATCACCACTTTAGGTTCCAGGCTCAAGTACCTAAAGCATACTTAGAAATTTTTGGAAGAAAGTAGAAGAATATGTTTGATGGTCTGTGGCATCATCCACCCCCACACATATTTATAGGGGCCGAATCCATGCATTGTTTCATGAAAGGTTGCCTTTATCCATACGAAAGGTTGCCTTTATCCATATGAAAGGTTGCCTCTATCCATATGAAAGGTTATCCTTATCCATATGAAGGGTTGTCTCTATCCATAAGGTTATCCTTATCCATAAAATAATGCAACCGCCACTAGGCCAAAGGGATGTGTCCCTTCACGGAATTAGAATATCGGTTCGGTCGGTCTAATCCCAAACCGGTTGGTCGGTCCAACCCAAAACCGGTTTGACTTGGTTAGTCCGGTTCAACCAAATTTCCAACAAATTATACAAAAGAGAATATGTACTAATAGCATCAATGACCTCTATTTCAAGAAGAAGTATTCAAATTATCTTGAGGTGTCATGCCATAGAACACTAAGAAAAATGCGATCCATAAATGCATAAGAAGACACAACAACTGAAACTTACCAGTGATCAGCAACTCCCGGAAATACGCAAGCTAGATAGATGAGGATTGCGTGACTGTACAAGAAAATTAACAGGATCAACAATTAACAACGGTAGAGCAAATGAAAGACAAAAGACATCAGGGCAGGCATCAGAACTCGTAAGGGTCCGAAGCAAAAACATTACAGGATCATAGAAGAACCTAGACATATCATGGTAAAAATTTAGGACATTGATTACTTCACAAATAGCTTGAATCTTCCATCAACTATAGCAGGCACTAGCTGCATAGGGTTTATCTCTGAAATCCCACCATTCAACAAAGACAGACAAACAGAAAAGGCATCATTAAGTTGGCCTCAACATCACTCTTCTAAACAGAGTTTCCCTCCAAGAAATCCCCTATCAAACCACTACACTGAAAAGAATTGCACCAAATCTCTTTAACAATTTCCATTTCAGGAATCCTTCTCAAGAAACCAAGCAAGCTCAAATCTTTCCTTCCAAACCTCAAACACCTAGAAATAAGGAGACTCCAAAGAGAACAAGATACCTGTAAATTCAGGAGACAAATGCTGACGCTTAGACAAGTCTACTTTGATCTCCACAAAGTCAATCCGGTTCAGCCTGAAAATCCCCCAATCCAAAAACTCATAAACCACAGCTGGAAACTTCAAATCCATTGTCAAATTCAAGTAGAAAGTGAGAAAAATGGTTACTTGCAGAAGAGAACGACAGCCCTGGATGGCTGGGACATGCGATCCACATACACTTTGAGCGTTATCTTCTTCTCCTTCTCTCTTCTTCTCCAAATTCTTGAAATTTTATTCACAGATGGTATATGGCGATTAACGAGTTTCACTATTTAATTCGCTCTAAGTTCTAACCATTATCCACACCAGTGGGAGACCCTAATGGCTAATGTGGACATTTTTCTGTGTTCTGTAAACGTCAGATGATAGCAGTGTGTCAGACAGTCGGCGCTCTAAGCCACTCTCCATTCATCATCAGTGACGTCACCTTGTTCGGTTCAGTTTGTTGGTACCTGTCTCAAGCTCTACGAAATGGGCCTAGAAGCTTGAAGGCTCTGGGCTTGGCTTGGTTTAGCCTATTCGTTAACCGATGGATTTTGACCTGCTCAATATGGGACGCCCTGATAAGCCCAGAAAATTTGGAGTGCATCCTTTTCAACCATTCAACCCGAGACTCATGGGTTGGGTGGTTAAAACGATGAAAACCGACCCGCGTACCCCCTAATGACAGGTACACAATACGAAATTGCCAATTGGATTTCGAGAGAAGTCACAAGAGAGATCAATGATGAACAATAGGTAGAGTTGAGAGGGTTGATACTTTGTATGTTAGAAGTTAGAACGATCCTGATACTATCCATGAATATTTCATTTTGATAATTTTTATTTAAATTTATAAAGGATTTACCACAATTCTAAAGGGAGGATCACGTTTATTATTATAAAAAATAAGGGGACACGTATATGGACCTATTTGTAAATTTTAAAATGTCTTAGCATCAAAATGTAAGACATAAACTTTTTAGGTTCTAAAATATAATTTTACATCAATACTTTTAGGACTTATATGCAAAAATAATTGTAGGTACTAAATCTTAATATACATTAAAAGTTTATGTACCAAATTATAATTTGCATATGAAATCACAAGTTTTATGATCCAACTCCTCTCTCTCTCTTCTCTCTAATTCTCCCTAGGGTTTCCGCGATGGCGGCCTCGTCGTCGGAATCTGTTCCGACGGCGGGCAAGGGACCCGGGGGGAGCACTTGGGCTCAACTATTTGAGGTTCCTCAGGAGAGTCGGATGAAATTTCGTTCTCCGGAGCGGGTGAATGACGGCTTTCGTATTCCGCGAGAGGTGAAGAAAAAAGGGGAAGAGCGCTAGCGTGATTGCCTCATCGGGCAGTTTGTTGGGGCTCAACCAAAGGTGGCTCAACTTCGGACTTGGGCTACTGCAATTTGGGGAAGAGACGGTGTTGTTCGATTCTCGCGATTTGGGTCTCGAATGTTTGTTTTCCAGTTCCCATCTTCGTCAACGAGCAAGTGGGTATTCAGGTCGGGGCCCCTGGCATTATCAAGGTAACCAGCTATACCTTCGGAAGTAATATTATGACAAAATCAGCCTGAAAATTTCTCCTAAACCAACCCTAATAAGCAAATAAGTCATTCATAATCCCCAGATCGCGTATAGTAGTGATTAAGCGCCTTGAGACACGATTAGTCAATTGGGGGCGTGTTAAAGAGCAACTGAAGGACCAAAGGAAATAAGAAAAAAAAGGCATGTGTCTTCCCCAAAATAACATCATCTCAAACTATCATTGTCGTGTGTCCATACTTCTTTAGTCATTACTCGTTCCCTCAATTTGTAAAACAAATCACAATTCTAGGTTAGAAAGCTGCTTCTCATCCCACACTCATTCATTTTGTAACTAATGAGGTGGAAGAAGAGGAGGATGGGAAGGAGATTTCTTTTTAGGATGGCGAAGATAAAGTGGTTATTGGACAAACCTATTTTGATGACGATGAATGAAGTTGTTTTTAAGTGTTTGCATTTATTTCCTTGAACTTGTTGTTGTTGTTTTTAAGTGTTTGCATTTATTTCCTTAAACTTGTTGTTGCGATGAACTTGTGTTCTAACTTTTTATGAATTTATTATCCTATAAACTTGTGATTCTAGAAAATTATGACATGTTTTGCTCGTTGTTGAGGATTTAGTAAATTATTAATCATTTGAACATAAATAAAAAGTTGTAAAATTTTTATAAATATTAAATATTGTTATTTCACTTTAAACGCCTAGACACTATCTAAATGTATTAGGCACTAGGTAGAATCTCAATGTCCGCCTCATACATCTTCTTGAATCGTGAGAGGATATGAAATTGCTTCCAACTCATCTCCATTGATTGCTAGTTGTCGAATTGTTATTTGAATATAACATATTTATGATATGTAGCCTATACTTTTGCAAATTGTTTGAAATGCATAATTTCATATAACATCAAAGTGCCATCAAAATTATATTTTAGTTTTTGAAATTTTGATAATCTTTCATCAATGAACGAACATTCTACTCTCAATGTGTATCACACTCATGAATAACTATTCATGACCTGTTTGTTTAATGATCCAACTAGTTAGTTGACTATACTTGAAAAGAAAATTGACATAACAAAAAAATAAAGAGTTTGCATCAAAAAGTGTAGCATAAATAGGAAACACATAGCCATAAATTCTATTGTTCTAGCCAATAATTTGTTCCATTGTAGGGGGAACAATACATATATATCAATATATAAACCTTAAAGTATTCTAAACAATGCAACAATAAAATTAATAAGAAAATAACATTTCTCATCTATATTACATGTCATAAAAAAACATATATCAGCCAACATATTCAAAATTTAGATGAAGGCCAATATTATTTCTTGAGCAAACAAAATTAAACCTTTTCTTGTGGTACCCACCCTGCTAATGTGTCTATGAAAACTCCATTCTAACTTCTTGATTTGCGTAATAATTTTTAGAAATAATCTACAAATTTGGTTTTCATAAATTGTGTTATTTCAAACTCACATTTGGATCCAATCATGCTGGATTATCAAGAGATCTAAACTTTAGTAGTTGATGAAACTAAAACTTTCAAAGAGAATCTACAAATTTGGATCCAATCATGCTGGATTATCAAGAGATCTAAACTTTAGTAGTTGACGGAACTAATACTTTCACAGAATTGGTCACTTATAGTTTGCACAAAAAATTCATTAATTTATGTTAGTTCTAAAAATACATATATTATATAAAGATTCTATATCGCTTCTACATATTCAATTTTATAATTTAATATGTAATATTCGAACCAAAGATATTTGAGTTGCGAATTTTTATATAGTATATTTGCGATTGAGCTCATGCATAAAATTGATATCAACTCATCTTCTATTGATTATATGGCCCATGCTTTCTTTTCTTTATACTTCCACTCTACATGCATGTGCAACTGTAACTCCTTTTTTTTTGTACCAAAATCAAATGTCATACTGTTATACTTATAACAGATTTGTTTATAGCCTGTGCCAATTTGTTTACAAAATTATAACAAAAACTATGGCTGAAAGACTGGCGAGCGTCCTTTCTCAAATTATCTCTGAGGGTCAAAATGCGTTTATCCGCGAACGTCAGATAATTGATAACATCCTCCTTAGACATGAGTTAATGCATTATTTGAAAATCAAAGCTCGAGGAAAGAAAGGGTACATGGCTCTAAAGGTTGACATGGAAAAAGCCTATGATAGAGTCGAATGGCTCTTTCTCCTCGCAGTTATGAATAAGATGGGTTTTAACTCTGTCTGGCAGGGGTGGATTCTTGAGTGCCTCAGATCCTCTTCGTTTTCTGTGCTGATGAATGGATCCCCTGCGGGATACTTTAAGTCTTCCAGGGGGCTGCGTCAGGGAGATCCGTTGTCCCCTCTTTTGTTCGTGATTTGCACTGAGGGTTTTACGGCTTTTCTGCGTAAGGCAATTGCGGATAAGAAGCTTCAGGGTGTTAAAGTGGCTCCCCGTGCCCCTAGAATCTCTCACCTGTTTTTTGCTGATGATTCGTACTTATTTCTCAGGGGGAATCTTCAGGAATGTGAGAATCTGATCGAGGTCTTGAATGAGTATGAAGAATTGAGCAGTCAGCGGGTGAATCTGGCCAAGTCGGCTGTTTGTTTCAGCAAGAACATATCTGGCTGATCAAGAGTTCCTGGCTTCGATTCTGGGGGTTGGGGCGGTAGGGGTCCACGATAAATACCTAGGGCTGCTCACGCTGTTTGCTCGATCCAAAATGGCTACATTCAGGTACTTGGAGGAGAAATTGTTAGAAAAGCTTCAGGGATGGAAGCAGAAAACGTTATCCTGGGCAGCCAAGGAGACCCTAATTAAGTTTATTGCTTTGGCTTTGCCCCTGGCATGTGGCTCGGTTCTGGTGGGGGGAGGCTGAGGGTCATCAGAAAATTCGATGGGTCTCCTGGCGGCATATGTGTAGGAGTAAGCATGATGGGAGGATGGGATTCCGCAGGTTTGAGCAGTTTAATCAATCTCTGTTGGCCAAAATTGGCTGGCGTATACTAACTGATCCCTAGTCCCTCCTAGCCCAGGTGTACAAAGGAAAATATTTCCCCAATGGGTCCTTCCTCACTGCTACAGCTCGGTCCCGTCCTTGGGGGTGGCAAAGCATTCTCTTTGGGCACCAGTTATTGGAAAAAGGATTGCGCTGGCAAATCGGTAATGGTCGGTCAACCTCTTTATTAAACTCCAATTGGATCCCTCAGCTTCAGTTGGATCCCCCTTAGTATAATCCTTGTGTTTTGCCTGATGGGGGTGACCCGGTCATAGCCGAGGTTATTTGTCAGGGGGAGGGGCGTTGGTGTGACCACAAACTGAGGCAATGGTTTGATCCTGCTACTTGTACGGTCATCAAAGCTATTCCTCTCCCGCGGCAGAATGTGGAGGACAAGTTGATCTGGAATGAGACTACTGATGGGGTGTTCTCGGTCAAGTCTGCCTATCACCTTGCTGTCTTGCTGGATAAGCGGAAGGGTGGGTGGAAAGACTCTGTCAGCTGGATGGATAAGGCTAGTTGGATTAGCCTGTGGGAGGCAAACATTCCCCCGAAGCTGAAGGTGTTCATCTGGCAGATCCTCTCTCGGGTCCTTCCAACTACTGAGGCTCTCATTGA